CAAACAAAGCTGCCTTCCTTACATGTTGTGTAAATATGATCAACAACTATGCTCATTTTTCATGTGTTAAAAAATGTAAGAAAACAGTGGGATTTTTTAGCTGCACATTGTAAAAAAACTGTACCGTGAACAAAATTAGGTAACAATAACTTTTCTGGTGACTACATTGCTAGCTAAAGTTCACTGTTTTAATAGTCTGTACAGAAAATGTACGTGTACATAGCGACTACAGAGTCACCATGAGGGTGCCAGACAGGGAGTTACTGCACCCACAAAGAAACAGGCCAGCACATAAACCCTCGTAAAAACTTGAGTTTTACGATCTTACTCTTTTAAAAAAAAGGTACCAATCCTTGTCACAATATTGTCAGATAACAACAATCTGAGCCTGTCAATGGCAAAAACAAGCACTTGCAACTGCAGCTCACTTGCTCAATACTGGAACAATTTCAAAAATGTTTTGTCTCTATTACACACTAAAACGTGGGAAAACGGGGTCCAGGTTGAAAAACACCAAAGTTACCCTTTAAAGAAAATAGCTTTCATTTTGACTGGAGCCTGGTTAACTTTTTGAGGGTAAACAAACCCTTTAGATGAAAGTAATGTCAGACTTCTAATCTGAATGTCGGTTTCACAGCAGTGAGGATGGCCTTTTTCTTAAAATCTTGCTCTATTCCTTTATAGCATTTCACAGAAACATATTAAAGAAGGGGGAGGGCATCTACAGCTTATTTCAGACCAGAAATTAAGGCCTACATGAAGGGCCACTATAACTTTCAATCATGCAAAGCTACCATACAGGAGTCACAGAACTACAAAATAGGGCTGGAAATGAAGTATAATAGGTCTCCTTTAAGATCACCTATTGAAATTTGTTGATAATTTGTTAGTAATTTTTGGGGGCATGCACCTATATTTTTCAAATATTTAAGAGATTCACCTAGCATAAATAATTAAGGACTTTTGATATTAAGTATTTTAGCTGTTAGGATCCTTCCTTATCCACAGCCTTACAGTGTTTAATAAAGGCCAGGGAGACCATTTGATATATTACAGCAAAGCACAATCTTCTGGTGAGTAAAATACCTTGTGAGCTGTTAATGTAGTGGTAAATATAAGGGTAAATAAACTGTACATCTCAAATCACACATCATTCTAAATTATTTATTTGTCAGAGTAAACTGGGCACAGGTGTTTTCAGGCTTAGCGACATCACTGCTTCAGGTTATTAAATTAACCGTAGATTGTTATTTAAGCTTCAAAATGGGACATATTCATCTGTGGCTCTCCATATTCCATAGGGCTCGTTAAAAAATAGTGAGATTTAGTTGGTTTTCCTTTGTGTAGGTGATACAGGATGTAGCTTGCATCCCCTCTTAGCTTGGATTATTTGATTCGTGCTTGTTCGCAAAGTGGTGCCTCTCCCATTTTACGTAAGACTTCTCAGATGAGCACACTCATTACTGATAAGGGCAACATGACATGGAGCCTGAGCTACAGTAACATCGCTGAGCAGCACTAGACACAGACACACATTTATAGACTTTCCCTACATCAAAAGGCAGCAACAGTGAGAGAAGCAAAGGGATAGCACCACTAAAGGAGAGTCTGACACAGAGAGGACACTGTATTTAAAAGGAGGATAAGCACATGCATTAATTGAGTCTCCCCTAGGCCTTATAAAGAAAGGAAGAGATTAAAAGATACAAAGAATAACAACATAAAACATTGGGAAATTATATAGAAATTCAGAGTAAACGTGAAGATGGAAGGTTGTGATGGAAAGAAAAGAGGAAGGAAAAGGAAAACCATGAAGGTGAGTCATTAGACACCTAAGTCTAGGATCAAGCCTCGATTGGAATGACAGGCTACGTGTTGCCCTTTAAATCCTTTTAGGGAACAGAGATTACACCTACACACGCACATGTGCTGACAGTATGCATGCACTCTCAACCTTCAGTATTTCAATGGAAAGACATACAGAACTTCAGATATCCCCACCATGCACACACACATAATATAGTCATGAAAAATCATTCCAACCAAGCAACACATCTACATTATGCAAGCTCACACCAGCCTGCTCAGTCTGCATCATACCCAACTTACTCAACAGTCTTGCAAATAAAACATACTGTTCAGGTCCCCCCCTTAACTGAATTATTAATTGTGTTTAGTAGTAGATGAGTCAAAAAATTATTCATCCTTCTTGTACAAAATGTCAAGCTACATCAGTCTTAAAAACAAAACTGAACTGATAATTCTAGCTTTAAGGCAAGATAGTGTTGAACAGCCTACTCTATATCCAATTAGATCATCGGTGGCTTGGATGCCCATCTCTCCAGCATTATTACATTTTCCCCCATGCTTGGCCTCAATTAAGTGGTTGTGTTGTTCGGCTCATTATCCCAGCAAGCATGTGCAATTAAGAGCTGCATAAAAGGACAAGAATCAGAAAACTGTAGTCTTAAATAGCACTGTTACTACTGTAAACAAATGGCTGGCCATCTTGTTTTACTGTAGCAATGGGGCTACATTCATTAATAATGTCAAACATCCAAATTAAGTAATAAGAAATAAATACTCTCCAATCTGCAGTGTCACACCAGTATAAGAGAACATTTTATATTTTTATATAGAAAGAACATTCAAACTTTTCAACGAGCAGGATACATTTAATTAAGGCATAGTTTTAGCAAATATGCCTTTGTATTTGCTTTCTAATGGAGAGGTAGAGGATAAGATCAGTATCACTCTCATGTCTGTATAGTAGATATGAAGCTTAGCTTAGAACAAAAACTGGAAATGGGGAAAGAGCTAGCCTGGCTCAAATATAGTCTAAAAATAACAAAATCAGCCTCTAAAGCTCACAAAATAACACATTCAATCTCAGTGGTTTAATACATACAAAAACAAAAACAGACAATTTGCTGTTTTTAGTGAGTTTTAGGAGTCCAATCTTCCTAGTCTTTATGCTGGGCTAAGCTAACCAGCTGCTGCTTGTAGCCTTATAATTAACGTACAGACATGAGAGTGGGGTCGATATTCTCTAACTCTCTCCCCCAGAAAAGTGTATTTCGTAAAATGGAAAATTATTCCTCTGAAGGTTTACAGACCGCAGTGTACTGATGTACACAAAGTGTTCATTTTTACATTAGGTTTCACCTTCACAGTAAAGGCCCATTTATACTCCTGCGTAGGGTCTACGTGTGTACCTACGCCGTAGGCTACACACGTAGACATGCATTAATACTTGTGCGTAGGTCTGTCCGTCATTCTGCAATTACACCCCCAAACGCTAGTCGGCAGTAGCGCTACAGCATCCACTCTGTTGACTTTTGCCAGCCGAGCAGGCTAACTTACGGTTTAGCGCTCCGCTAATGTAAATGGGGGTAAAGTGTGCTGCTGGTGTAGCCTTTTCAAATGTTACCGACCGAATGGATCACATTCTGATAGCGAAACGAGTCATTTCGCTCGGTCAAATTGTGACAGTCAAATATATTGATTCACTGTGTTGTTACAGCCGCCTTTTTGGCCGCTAGTAAATGTTACTTTAAAGCGCAGTGTACTTCTGGTCGGCTTGGACCAATCACAGAGCTTACGGTCCGCATCGACTTGACGTGTAGTTACATTTTGAAGGAGGTGCACGTCAGGCGTAGCCTCTACGTATCCCCATCACCTACGCCGTCGATTTGACGCAGAAGTATAAATTGCGCTTAATACTTGAAGTAAATATTTTTTAAAAGTCAACATTCTTTTGCTAACTTTTTCTTTTACAAAATAAAAGTTGATTTCCACTAAGAATTCAGCATTTCCTGTACATATATATTGTGCAGTTCAATTCTAGCTTAATTTCACTCACTGTTACAAGAGGCTCTTCAGAGAGCCAGAAATCCACAGAAGATTACTAAAGACACCAGCTAACAAAGTAGCTAACACGTGAATCCTGGATAGAGCTTCTGGTTGACAAACAAGTGATTATGCCCTGAACTGCCAATGACCAAGTCAAGACGATATGACAGTGTACTGTACAGTAAGTGACCTCTGGCTTTATTTACTTTAACATGCAGGGCTTATACTTTTCAATGAATGTGTAAGGCTCTGTAGATCATGGGTGGCATATAGACAATAACTAGGATACTTCACGTGAAATATTAAGTAGGTGTAGCATATGTGGATACGTTTTGCCTGCATGCTGAGAAACCACTCAACTGAAAGCACTTTTTGGCCTCTATTCCCATAATATACTGATCCTACACCATAGAGTACCATCTGCTCTGTGGAACGGTCTTGTGATGTTGCTTCCATACGAGACAAAACACCACGGTAACACCAGAAAACCAGTCCCCACACCTCGGGAGATAAGCAAGCTAAAAGTGTGGTTTCCACGTCATCATTAGGCAAGCTAAGACACACAAGCATCATACAGATTACACAATGAAAGAACTGTCAATAGGAAGACATTTGTGCATTATGTACATATAGCCAAAAACAAACACACATACTGTACACACACACACAGTATTATACACTATATACAAAGTGTCAATTGTTTTTCAAGTGCTCTTTGATGATGAGACGTCATTTAAACAACCTTGATTATCTTCACATTTCTGGCCGCCCTCTCTACAAAAGAAAGCTTGATAGAAATGACATTTTAAAATGCAGCGTAATGAAACCACATCCATTCATTCAGTGGTCAAGCATGTGCAGATGTCATTACAGTGTCTATTTGGAGGAACCTAATGTACTTAGTACAACTATTAACATGCTATCCTCCTTTCAGAGTACTTTGCTATAGTGGGGGGGAAATGCAGAGCTGAAAACTCTGCCGTTCCTGATGGTATCTTTACAGTGACCTATTTCAATGAAACATCTAGAGGATGTTTGAGTTCTATTTATATACGACAGAATGCATAAATTACCGGAAGGTGCAGTGTGTTGAAAGCACAGGAAGATGTGGGGCTTAAGACAATTGGAGATCTAATAAGGTTTCTTACCTCTCCTAAATGGGGAGTAGGATTAAATCCACACAGATTGCACACTTTCTTCTTGCACTCAGTGCAAAGGCTGTAGTTGGGCGTGTCTGCTGATGCAATGTTCAGCTCCACATTACAGAGAGGGCAGCTTTCCTTGGTTGCTGAGGCTGGGGCAGGTGCAGGTTCGGCTGCTGGTGCCTTCTCTTCCTGCTCCACAGAAATGGTTCTCAGGGGTTTCTTGGACTTAGCAGGTGGGGTGTCAGGAGCTGAGTCAGAATCAGGAGGGGACCCGGGAGGAGAGAAGGGAGAGTCAGGCGGTGAGCCGGGGACAGAATCCAAAGGGGAACCTGGTCCCGAGTCAGCAGGGGAGACTGGCGGCGACATAGGTGGAGAATGAGCCGCCTTCTCGTCCTCTCCAGCGACAATATTGGTGGCTGAACTCAAGAGCGACGATCCAAAGCTGAACATCTGAGAAGCAGCAGCCGGAGGTTTTGTTGATTCTGTCAGCCCTCCAAAACCACCAAAAAACTTCCCAGCCATTGACTCCTCCTGCTTTGGCGCAGCCTGCGCTTGAGGCTTTGACGATTCCATCAAACCGCCCAACCCGCCAAATAGTTTCCCTGTTACGGACTCTGCAGCCGCTGGAGGTTTGGCCGCATCTGTTAAGCCTCCCAGACTGATACCTCCTAACCCCCCAAAGAAGCTGGACTCCTGTTTGGCTTTAGCTGGAGACTGCTGGGGCGTGGACTTCTGCTGAATGGGGCGGCCTGTTTTGGGGTCAATTTTGGGAGATCCTCCCACTGAGGAGCCTGGGGAAATTGGCCCAGGAGAGGTAGGACCTGGGGATTTCTGCCTTGGTGTGGTTGGCGGCGTTAACCCCTGGTCGGTGGTACTCTGCTGCTTTATCAGCAGCTTGCCAGGCTTGCCAGGTCCCTGTCTCTGGGGTGAGGGCGGGGCTGAGCCTTGTTTGGGTTTTGTCATGCCGGGGGGATCCATACCTCCCATCGCTCGCTGCATCTGGCAGTTCAGACACAGCCACTCTTTTCCCTGTGCATGTAACAAAAGATGGATTAGATTTGACTGGAACAAATGTCCACACAGGTATGAGCACAGACATCAATGGCATGTGTAATTACAGTACATACACAGGGAAGCATAACCAATTAAACCACTAAAATAACAATTTTTGTTCAGCGTAAAATAAAGACAAATTCAGAGACGTGTCCATTAATTAGTGCTTCAAATGATGTTAAATCCTGTTTTCCCAAGCTTTAGAAAATTCAAATCTCGTAACAGTTACATAAATACTAAAAGACACTAGATATTTACATCCACACAATACTGAACAATAATGTATATTGAATGTTCTAATCCTAATTAATTAATTAATTCTAATTAAATTAGAATTAAAAAACTGTTTAGACCATCATTAACAGTTGATGATCATACAGTATATCACAACACCTATTCCCAAAAACGCCTGGCTACTCTACCGTGCTCTGTGTTTAGTGTGCAGGAGATCTCCTTGGTCTCCACTGTGTGCAGTGTTTGAAAGGGCCAATATTGACAATTTGATCACTATCTAGAAAAGAACAATGTGTTATTTTTGTGTGTGTGCAATGGTACTTGTTGGATATAATATAAACAGAAATGAGGTAAATTCAACCAACCTGAAATATATACAGTATAGTTTACTTTAAATGCAAACAGTATTAATTTTTTCTGAATTCCGAATGAAAGAAAATCCACTTCTGAACTGATAAATCTGCTAAAGAAATGACCCCAGTTTTGACCGGCAAAGTAATAAATCCAAAAAAGCTCCAGCAGAAGGAACCAGTCATTCTGCTCTACTGTAATCATGGCCCACAAGCATTTACCGTCCATGTGTGACGGAGTGTCCTCACATGGCTGGCACAGTATCTTCCTGTGGCCATGACATTAGTCACCTTGATCAGCATTCCCTGGGTCCATATGGTCTCTCTGTTCCTCAAACCACGTGCCACTTTTATGAGATGCACTCCCTTCGCCAGGCTGAGAGAACAGTAATATGCTGTCGTATCATATTGTTTTATCTATTTGAAAAATGCCAATCATCAATAATTGCCATTGTTTCCAATTCGGTTTGACCATTTATAAGAATTTAATCTCTCAAGTCGAGTTGATTAAACATTTACTTTTTGTAAGAAAAATAAACGTTTAAGTGTAAAAACTAGAGTAAATAAACTTTAGGATTACACTTTGCAGTGTAATGTGGCATGAGCAAATATCTCACACATAGAAAATTGAATAATGTGTGACATTTCCAACCCTCTGCCATCAATAACATGGACTGACTTCTGTATTATTAGATAAATACCAGTATACCCGGCAGCAGACTGCAAAGTTTGTTTGACCGTTGGATATTCATCATTTGGAAAACTGACAGCTACATATACAAAAAGCTTCAATGCAAGTCATTCCAACACCTTACTGAACTTGGAAAATAAAACAAAAAGACAAAAAATAAAGTAATGACGGTCTTACCGCTGAGTCTGGAGGGCTGAACCCACATAGGCTGCACACCTGGTTCTTACACTCAGTGCAGTTATTGTAATTAGGCGGGTCCTTAGACCCAATGTTCAGCTGGGTGGTCTTACACAGTGGACAGAGCCCACCTCCCTGCTGACCAGGAGGCCCTCCGCTCTTAGCTGGCTCTCCAGGGTGAGCCCCAGGGCCTGGTGGGCCTTGCAGTTTGGGTCCAGGCTTTCCAGGTCCTTGTTGAGGGGGTCCACCTTTTTGCTGGGGAGGGCCACCCTGTTTGGCGCCTTGACCTGGTGGTCCTTGACCGGGTTTGGGGGCCTGTTGGCCTGGGGGTCCTTGGCCTGGTGGACCCTGACCTTGCCTGGGGCCCGGCCCAGGGGGTCCTTGGCCAGGAGGACCTTGACCTGATTTGGGTCCTTGGCCTGGTGGACCCTGACCTTGCCTGGGGCCCGGCCCAGGGGGTCCTTGGCCAGGAGGACCTTGACCTGATTTGGGTCCTTGGCCTGGTGGTCCCTGACCTTGCCTGGGTCCCTGCCCAGGAGGTCCTTGCCCTGGATTTGGCCCCTGTCCTGGAGGGCCCTGACCCTGTTTCTGAGGTCCTCCCTGTTGTGGTCCCTTTGGACCTGGCCCTTGCTGAGGTCCCTTGCCTGGTGGCTTTCCTCCCTGCTTAGACTCAGGTGTTGCAGATGCATCTCCCTCCTCCTCATCCCCAAACAGTCCAAACTTGGGGATGTTGACAGAATCGCCCATAGAGGATATAGAGGAGGAGACAGAGGAGGTCATAGATGACATGGCATTGAGCGGGTTGGCCCCGCTGAGGAAGCTGGAGCCAAACATGCCGGATGACTTGGTCTCAGGGTCTTTTGGCTCCTGCCGGAATCTCGATTCAAAAAGGCTGAGGGATGAGGGGCTGCGGCCCGGGGTGGGCCTGCCGGAGGGACCCTGGTTGAAGGCGTCTACAGTGCGGCTCTTACTGAGACCTGTAGGGCCCCTGGAGGCCCCTACCTGCTGGGGACGCTGCTGTGCATCAGATTCTGACGGTCTGGAAAAGAGAAAAAGAAAACAGATTATTTTAATTTGCACTGCTGTTATTGTTATTGTTCATTTGTGTTTATTTTGGCAATGTGAGAAAGACGGTCACACCAACTCTATCTGACCCAGTGACAAAATAATAAAAAAAACCCTAACCATTGACGAGAGTTTAACACCAGATAGTTCTGAAATATACTTATATATAGCTCTCTCTGCTGAATTAAATTAAACGCAAACACTTCTGCTGTCTGGAGTAATACTGACATTCGATTGATATTAACAAGTGTCTGTCCATCATGACTATGAGATAACCAATCAACAAAACTGTCTCTCTTTCCAAAAGACTATAAACATTCTGAGTAAATACGATTGTGGATGTGATTTGGACAATTACCATCCAGTTTTTTTGTCTGTCCACTATGTTATATGTAGTCTTTTCAATCCATTTGCCATTCTTCCACCTCAAACAATATTGTTTAGGATATGTGCTAACGCTACTGTAGCTTCTTTGTGCTAATAATAAAAGTTAAGACTACAGTGCTCTCTTTGCTCTTTGTGTGACAGAGCTCAGGCCCTTTCAACACATCAGTGAATACAAGCCAGTGGCCCTGGGGTAAAGCTGAGAGGAAAGTGAATACCGCTGAATGACATAGAGTGTAGATCATTGAGATAGCGAGGAAAATGCTCGACTCCATCGTGGAAAGCTGAGACATCTTTGTTGGCTCTGGCTAAGAGGCAACATACACAGCCTACACACACTGCTAGGCACAAGCATGAAAGTCAAACGTTAGATCCTTAGAGAAATGCATCAGTGAACTAATGGGCAGATTGGATGATGTTTTGTTATTGTACGATGATAAGTGTATGCAACGTGTATAGGTTTCTCAGGCTGCTGTTTGAATGTCCCAGCTGCTTCTGCCATTATGTCTGAGATTACATTACCAGGCAATAAAGTTTAATGCTGTAATGAATACAGCATTTCATTATTTCTTTACAATGAGCACTGAGTAACAAGAGAGTACAGAGCCCAGCAAACATTAAATGTAGAGGTGTTGCAATTGTTCAATCCACTGCAGCGCGTGGCTTAGCACCACGGACAGCAGCGGTGTATTTCAGCACCATGGACAACAACCAGACTCATTCCAAGACTGAGCCTCAACAGCAGAAGATGAGATCCGACTTTTAAATGAAGAAAAATCAGAAAGCAGCAGGAGGGAAGTCTGTGAGGGAAGACATTAATGCTGCTGTTCTATTTATAGTCATATTAATATTGATGCACCCCCCTCTTCCCTCCCATATCTAGCTCAGCTATAAATGAATATGTTCCCCCAATTGGAGCGAGTAGCAGGACCACACAATGCCATTTGATCAAATATCGAGGAATCTTCCAGGATGATATAAGCAGAATTTAAAATCGGAAGCATTATGGAACTGGTCGCATAATGTTTTCATTGTCAGCTTTCTACCTCCCCCTCCACAACACATCACATTCCTCACCCAACCGATTAAAATCCAATTAAACGAAATTCAGAGGTGGACAGTGTAACTGGCCACATTAGAGAGCGGATACTGTAACGAAGGTGTTTAGCTGGGTGTTAAGGCGTCGTTCAGACGAATAAAAAAAACACTGGGCACGACAGATTTTCTTACCCAGCAGGCATTTCGAAAATTTCGCACAAATACAGGGGGTGTGTCTCTTTACGCACTGAGCTCACACAGCGAGACAAAACGCGGACGCTGAGCCAAACAATTGACCAATTCAGACTCATTTCAGACATCAAATCTCAGGAAATTACCGTAGTAATTAGAACGATGCTGGTGCATCAGTGTCAAAAAACAGCTATACACAACGCTGAAAGAGGCAGCTTACAGCTGAAAGCCAATATAAGTGCTGTATTATAGGCGTGAAAGACTATATTTTCCTGTCATGCAGATGATCAGATGTTAATGATAATCAATTACAGTGAGCTGTAAGAATGTACTCGGTTTTTTGGTGGGAAGGATTAAAATTGGGCGTGAACGGGCTCTCTGCCTCCTTATAGCATGTTATACGCTTTCCAAATGATGCTTCACACAATCACTCGTTCCTCTCCCACGTATCATTGTCTGGCTGGTGTAGGTATTTTAAGTGCCTTAACAACAACAAAAAAATGCAAGTAAAGAGCCCTGCCTTCGTGCAGCTGCTGCGCCTCCGGGCTGCCTGCCTTGCGCCCTTGACATCGCCGCGGCGAGCTGCCTTCTCTCCTCCTCGCTAAGTTCATTCAGGTTGACCGGAGTCCCCTCGGGGACCCGGACAAAGCCGCCCTTCCCGTCAGGTGCCAGCCCCTCTGGAAGCCCAGACGGAGGCCCTTCGCCTCCTTCCAGGCTCGCTTCGTTCCCCATGATCGACCCCTCCCGTCCCCTTTATTCGGATCAATGCGCGATCCGAGCACTCTCCGCGTTTCTATGTCCAAAGTGCGCAGCGAAGACGGTGCTCCTCGGTGTCTCGAAGCATCTCAGATGGTGTATTTTCAGTGGTTACTTTCCTTCTCTGTGCTGTCTTTCCATTTCCCTCGTTTCTCCTTGTTTTTCTGTGTCGCGCATCTCTGCAGCTGTAGGCTACACCACAGTTACCACAGTTTTCCGTGAGGGGGGTCTCTGTTTTACTATTGCTCACAATCACAGAAGGTGGTTTCCGGTAGATTTTACAAAATAAAACCCCAATTAACTGGCATTAGTGTATTCAGTTTTGTGCAATTAAAAAAACATACCGTAACTACATAATGCACTGTAAAGCCTGTAATTATGAATAACATCGTAATGCTGGCATAGCCTACAAATAGGCCTAAGCTATATCTCACAAAGAATATGCCATGTAGGTTGTGTACAAAATGAGTGGAAAGAGTGGTTAGGCTTCACTTAAAAAACCTGGACGCGATATTTTGATTCATTTTAACCTCCCGTGTAACGTTTGAAGGCTTTTATATTGAAACCAAACTCGTATTACTTCCGCTGTCCTTTATGTAACACTGGTACCTTGACGCAGATTCTCCAACACCCTCCCCGCTCTCCTGCTCACCGCGCATGTTCCGCCGCTGACAGGTGATCAGAAGACATCAGTGAGGAGGAAAATATGTTTTTAAAGGGGACTCACTCAACTAAATGTCTCTTTGAAATGTGGTTTGAGTTTTTAAGAGTCGAAGCTGAGCGAAATAGAGAGGACAGGTGGAGTCAATGATGCTTTTTTCCCCTTTGCTCTAGTCTTTTGAATTCAGTTCCTTTATCGTGGTTCTGGTTTAAAAAAAGAAAGATCTAAGGGATGGAGTTGTAAATGTTGTTTGTGGGTCAAGTATCTGGGGTTCCAGGAGAAAGCTTGTGGAAGTTCATATATAGCCTAGTGTATGAACACACACCCCACCTCTCAACAAGCAAAGCATCTCAGATATCCCAGGATTATAAAATTCCTTGTATTCCATGTATAATAAGTAACTCTAGGTGCATCTTTATCCACCCAGGACCAGCCATTCAGTTCACAGAGCAACAAAAAACATTGGTGCGGTGTGATTCCAGAATGAAATTTAAATTTAGCTACCATAAAATACTCCAAAACACAGATAAGACATCTGCAAAGGTTTGACTCAGAACATGAATAAAATTCTTTGTTTTTGTTTTCCAGTTGTCAGTTGTAGCATGTCTCATTATATGTCTAAACCTCTTTATATTCTCAGATATGTTAATGTGCAAGTAAAGGCTGGCAGCAGACATGTGGGAATATCAGGTTAACTGTAGCCAGATCCATCACAATGAATTCTTTATCTTCTTTCACCTTGTGATGAATTGGCTGCTGGTGTTATCACAGGGAACACTGCATGTGATGAAATGAGTGTAATATAAAAGCTCAATAATGAAAAGACAATGCAGAGGCTGCAGTATGTTGCATCTTTAAGCCATAACAACATCACACGCACTAATATAAAAACCTGAAAACAAAACAATACAGTAAAATTGTATTACATCAGCCCACATGCTAAAAAACCTACAGTATATTCAGCAGCACTGTACTGAGAATACGCACAGCCAGTCGCCAGATCCAGCGAGTAGGATATTAAAATACGTCGCCTTGGCTGTATGTCAAGCAGATGTGTTGCAATATGACAGCGAGTGCTCATTTGCTGGGTTGTCTGTGGAGCTCTGGGGCAGATGTGTTCTCTATGCACCCAGCTCAGAGCTCTCAGTACCTGGGCAAGGCTGGAGAGGAGGACTGGGTGACTAGATTTTGTTTCAAGGGAAACACAGCTAATGACCAATATGTTTAAATCCTTTTCAATTTCTTTCTACATGGAAAAGCCTCTAAATAAAAGCATTGAGGACCATGTGACACTACAGGTCATAATTATACTGAATTATAGATGTGATGACAGCTCCTGCACGTGGGATGTTGCTGCTGTGTGTTGTGAGTCTCACCGTTTGATTTTAAGGTAAAAAATCTTATTAACAAAAATAGCAGCATATAAATCAATAGGGGAACGCACAACAAGTAGAATCTTGTGGGCTTTGTAAAGTAAATAATTCTACATTTTCGTAAATGCACTTATTTGATTTCTTGCAGAGAGTGATGATTTCTTGCAAATGAGTAGATTGTCTGCATGGTAAATATGAGGCTACAACCAGGAAATGGTTACCTTAGCTTAGCATACAGACTGGAAGCAGGGAGAAACAGCTAGCCAGGCTCTGTCCAACAGCAACTAAATCTAGCACTTCTAAAGCTCACTAATTAACACATTATTTGTTTATTCCACACAAAAACCAAAGTGTAAAAATGGGTTATTTTTTCTGGACAACCAAACGGGAGTTCCGGGAAGTCGCTCCACCAAAAATAGCCTGGCACATAAACCCTCAAAAAGACACACACTGTGGCTTACAAAATGAAACGTGTGAATTTGTGAGCTTTAGTGGAGCGTATAGGCAGATTTAACAGTAAAACGCCATGTTGTGTTTTTTTTATGTGGGTTTATGTGCAGGAAGTTACTGCACCTGACCAAACCTTTGGGCAGAGCCAGGCTAGCTGTTTCATCCTGCTTCCAGTCTTTATGCTAAGCTAAGCTAGTCATCTCCTGGCTCTAGCTTCATATTTAGCTTACAGACATCTCATCTAACTCTCAGCAAGAACAAAAAATAAGCGTTTTTCCTTTAATACAGTAGAGGGAGGGAATGGTCATATGTGAATGTACTGTTGACATTGGTTGCGGCCACAGGGTTTCCATTTATGGTTTGCTTATTTCCCAGCCAACAGTCATTCTTCCTCATTTCTTCTTTCTTTATCTGCACATTTAGAATGTATGTAGAATATTTTCTTCATTCGTTTCTCATCTCCTTGGCTTTCTATTTTAGATATCTATCTTATTTTTTAATAATCATTTCCCTCTTTCCTTTCAGTCTCTGTCCCTCCCTCCCTCCTCCTCCTCCTCCTCCTCCTCCTCCTCTGTGTGTATATGTAGGAAGAGGTGAGTTTTGGTGTCTGTCTTCGGTGATAAACGATGTTAGTGTAGCAATTGCTCTGCTCCTCCTTTTCTTCCCACTGATCGCTGAAGCATGGCCTGATTGTCTCTACGCTGTGAGGCGGAAGCAGCCCTTACATGCATGCTCTCTCTCTCTCTCTCTCTCTCTCTTCTCTCTCTCTCTCTCTTTCTCTCTCTCTCTCTTTCTCTCTCTCTCTCTCTCAGTGTATTTCACCCACACACATTCACATAAACACACTGACTGAAGCAGCCAGTCATGCAGAGCAAACGCATTCACCCAGACAGACGGACAGACAGACAGTCAAACACACACAGGTGTAAACACACAACATCAAACACAGGCCTGGGGACAAACACTCTCTGAGGCTTGTGGAAACCCAGCAATTTATACAGACACACACACACCTGCATACAGTCTACACAGAGTAGACTCACAAGTTTGATGCTATCCAGGGCCTTTTAGCACATTTCTGTTATAGAGTAAAATAAATATTGAGTCTTTATCTGTTGCATTTTCTCCAGTAGCTGAAAAAGTAGGCTACTCAGCTCCTGGATAAGGATGCATTCAAAATACTATTTAATTAAATGCACTGAAGTATTATCAGAGAAATGTACTTAAATGATCAAAAATGATTATATATGAAATTAGATTGTAACCACTGCATCAGTGTACAAGTGTCATTTAATTGTTGTAGTAGATAGACGCCGAGCTAGTTTTGTTATATAATCCAGTGGTTCGAACCTTGGCATTGGACCCCTTCCCTACCCAGAGACTGGCACCCTTCCATAGGTTCACAAGATATCGTAAGCATTCACAAACAAATGTCAAGATACCTAACTCATAACAAACAATGCACAAATAAATGTAGAGTGATTTGTATCTGTAAATCAGGGTTCATATCTGTGCCTGTAATTTACAACTCATATGTTGCATTTTTTTATGGAAAAATACAGAACTAAGAATGCTTTCAAAAATACATGTTAATAGATTATACTTATCGATTAACAAAATAATATGTGAGTGGACAAAAGAAAAATCTAAATCAAATCAATATTTGGTGTCACCGTCTTTTGTCTTCACAACAGCATCTGTCCTTCTTGGTACACTTGCACAAAGTCAGGGATTTTGTAGGCATATCGTCAGGTATATGATTATTGACAATTATACCAAACAGGTACTAATGATCACTAATTTATTATGTAGGCTGAAACACAATCATTAACTGAAACATAAACAGCTGTGTAGGAGGAATACAACTGGGTAAGGAAAAGCCAAAGTCAACTAACAAGGTGAGACTGCTGAAGATAGTTACTGCATCAGCAAGGTCTCCCCCAGGCAGACATTTCAAGACAGACAGGGGTTTCTAGATGTGCTGTCCAAGCTCTTTTGAAGATGCACAAAGACACGGGCTGGTACACCCATCTACTGTCCAGAGAAGTCTGGTCAGAGGTGGCCTTCATGAAAGACTTGCAACCAAATTGCTAACCCTCTATCTGACATGGAAACAAGGCCACACGTCTCAACTATGCACAGGAACATAGGAACTGGGGTGCAGAAAAATGGCAGCAGGTGCTCTGGACTAATGAAAGATTTGGCAGCAGCAGGAGACAGTTTGTTTGCCAAAGGGCTGGAGAGCGATACGTGAATGAGTGTTTGCAGGCAACAGTGAAGCAAGTTTGGGGTTGCATTTCTGAAAATGAAGTTGGGGACTTTTCAATGCTGAGAAGTACAGGCAGGTACTTATTCATTACTATCAGGGAGGCATCTGATTGGCCCCGTCTCTATCTGTGCCATTTATTATCGAATACTTATGACACTGTTGTATTTAATTAAAAAAAGGTTGGGAACCACTGGTTTAATCTTTGAATGAATTCTATTTTTTTTTTTTAGCTTATTGTGTTCTTTATTATCATGTAAAAGCATAATGTAATATGTCACTTTACAATATTTCCCCCTGAAATGTACTGCAGTAGTGTAAAGTATTGTAAAATGTTAATATTCAAGTAAAGTACAAGTATCTCAAAACTGTACTTAGGTACATTAGTACTGAATTTATATTTTGACCAACTCCTCCCATTTGACTTTGACAGTTTGTGTATTTGTGCTGTGTAGCTTGCCAATGTAAC